AGTAAATAAAATGCAAGTGTGCTTTTCACAAAAAGTTGTTGCCGGCTGTGGCTGTTTTCTGTGTGGAGTACTCCTCCAGGGAGTCACACACACCCGCTACCTAGATACTACCAAGCTAATACCCTCACACTGTGTTCCAGTCCAGTGTGATCACAAAAAATAGCTTGTGCACAATTTTTTGCGATCGCAGTGGACCGGAACACAGGCATTGATGTGCCATGTGTTATGATGCCGGCGACCGCACTGGACCGGAACGCAAGCACTAATGTGCCTGCGTTCCTGGTGCAGGCGATCGCACTGCGGGCAAGGGGCGTGGCTGCGTTGCACCGCCACGCCCCTGAACGCAGGGAGCAGCCGGCTTGCGTTCCAAAGGTCGAATGCTCTGGAACTCAAAAGGTGCCCATACACTGCACGATTCTCGTGCGTGAAATCCCGCGATCGTATGATAATCGTGCAGTGTATGGAAGGCGTGCAACTGCTTCTACTGTACGGTCACACGTCTTCAGTCGAACCAGCATGCTAGAAAACCCGCCGGGAATCGTACGATTCTGGGCGAATTAGTGGCCTGCTGGTTCGACAACTGCCGAACGGGCCGGTGTGCGCACGGGCACACTGGCCGTTTGCAGTCATCGGAAGCCCGCCCCTCATTACAGTCATCGGAAGCCCACCCCTCAGGGGGGCGGGCTTGCAATGATCGCAAGTACGATCTGCCTGTCCAAGATGGGCAGATCGTACGTTTTTTTTAAAAGTACTTTACAACCCTCGCAAGACAAAAGTCTTGCGAGGGTTGTAAAGTGTATGGGCACCTTAAGTCACCAAAGGGCTGCACTGCAAGACCAATCTTGGGGCTCTCCAATCAGTTAGGCAATGAATGTGTTAATTTGGCCACTATGGACTGAAAATTAGAAGTGAGATGTCTCTAGATGTACATGACAGTGGGAGGGCTACCAGCACCCATCTGACCCCCATCTAGTGTAAATGGGCCCTTGTGCAGCTGCAGAGTGGAATGTCTTCTCTTGATGGCCACAAAGAATCATTTGCTTTGGGGCAAGTAAACCTGTAACGTCTTCACAGAACCCAAAATAACTCTAGGCTTTCATAGTGGGCTCTATAAAAGGTTCCACAATGTACCACTGCAGTACCAGGCTGCCACCCAAAGCCACACTGCAGCCCCCTCTGAAGAGCTGTGAAGACGCCAACATTCTGGTACCCAATGTCAACTCTAATGGTAATGTTCAAGCATTGAACGCCGTGGGAGGGGTGAGAGGAGAATTTGGGATTTCAGCGAGCCTGGGCACCACACTATAGAGGTGGGCTGGTACGGTGAAGGTAGGTGTGTGGCACTTCATGGTAACCTCAAAACATCTTCAGCATTATTTGGGATTCAATCAAAACATATCAAATTTACATTAGAAAGGAGCTAAAAATAGGATCTTTTTGTACTCACCGTTAAATCCTTTTCTTGGAGGATGGACACAGCTCTGCAGCTCTGTTTCAGATCATCAACTACTGGGTATGCAGGAGGAGGGCACGGAGTACG